GTGATGGCAATTTGCATCAAAGTTTTGCTAAATGGCAAAAAGCATATGACTTAGCCTAGGGCAATGGAACTTTGCACATTTTCTTTGACCTATTGCAATTGTTGTCCTTTAGCCCTTTGAAACCTTTGCTGCCTGCAGTGGAATGAAGAAAGCAATGAAAGTGTATACTAATTAGATACGACTTGCCATTTTGAATAGAAAGTTGGTTGGAAGGAATTTGTGATGTTGTCTCACCGGAAACCGAAGACTGTTCTATTGTGCCAAGAAGTCCTCGGCCCACCGTCCTGCGACCCCGATGAACCTGTGCTAAGCTTGCTTCTGTACCGCTTTGACCGAAATCCTCAGACAAAGAATGCCTATTTTACGAAATTAAACAAAAATATACCAAGTCAAGAGGAAATGCCGCCGGCCGCAACCCTATTCGCTTTATTATACGCTTAACTTCGCGATCCTACGGAAGTATCCGATGATTTGTTTGGCTGGCTCAACCGTACTCTAAACGCTTGCTCGTGAAGTAAATTCGTGAACCGGAAGAGCATTCGGTGGCTGCCGTTTACTTAAACAAATAAACTAACGTACCGTCGTCTAAAGTTGATTTATGTTTGGGTGTGCTATTGCCTATTGCGTGTATGTAATGTTCATGTCATGACGAAAGTGATGATAGTCCCAGCTAGACTCGAGACTAATCCAACCTACTTCTATCGTTCACTGGCTCCTCCTGGCCTCCGTCTCTCTTCCTCTCCTCAACCCAACAGCCAAAAATAGCCGCAAATAGAAGTTGTTTGACCTTGTTTTCGCAACTTGGTCGTATTGGTAGGAAGACTTATAGAAACGTACCTTGTCCTGAGTTCATTGTATGCATAATTGTTTCCAAAGTCGGACAGTGGACGTGGTACATTCCCAGACGTTTCGCCGGCATCGTCAGTGAATCTCACCATTCGTAGCACCATAGTACAACTCGTCAAAGAGACAACTTGTCTCTTTACAACGAAAGTAGACTGCGACCATACAAAAGGTCACACCATCTTGGTCTTCATATCTTCAATAGCCACAAATATTTCATACTCACTTTTCTACCCTCGATCATCCCATTCAGGACGTTGTCTGTTTTGTTAAGGTCAGGCATTGTCCCATATCACATTCTGTGGTCGGCTTGTCAATGAATAAAGCTTACATTTGCTATAACAATGGACGACATTACTTTTTTCGTTTTTTAACAGGTTTTTGAGACTGCACAACTCATATAGCTAATTTACTGGCGGTCTCGAAGACCTACTGAACAACGAAAAAAGTCATTTCGACGATTGCTCTGGCAAGTATAAGTTTATGAGATGTATTAACCCAATTTCGTTTAAGGTGATGAAGGGCTCGTAGAAGAATTTTCCCACAATGATATGAGCAGAGCTTACGCTTACATTGAATTTCACATAACCTTGCTTTCTCAAAAGTTGTTCTCATCCCGGCTGAAGTGGACTGTAGTTTCGACCTCGCACAGGTCTTATCAACACACCCAACGGGAGTCGAACCGTGGCAATGCAGAATGGGGTTTGACACGCTAACCACTCGGCTACATTGCCAAGAGTGCTCTTGGGTCACAGGGGAAATGTGAATTTCAAGAAAGGCCAGGCCTTTTGGTTATATCATATTCTTTGGTGGGATTGTCGATGAAGCAAACGTATATTTGCTATAACAATCGACTACGTTACTTAGTCATCATATTACTGATTTACGTGCAGTCTCGAAAAATATAAGCTTACTTCATCCACAATCCCGATGCAGAATGTGACCTGTCATACAAAAGCAATTATGTCAATGTGGCGGAGTGTCTAACGTCTCGAGAGTACACGCGAGGTCAAAATCTCAGTCCTGCCTGGATGAGAACAACTTTTAGAAAAGCAAGGCTATGTGAAATTGAGTGGAAACGTCAGCTCTACTCATAGCCTAGTGGGAAGATCCAACTGCCAGTCCTTCCTCGCCTTAAGCCGAATAGATTGAATACGTCTCACATCAAAGATCTTCAAATTTCACAGCTTTTCAAGTAGTTGCATCGCGTCAGCAACCATTCCCTAAGCGGCAATCCTCCTCCGGTTTCCAATGAGACCAAATCACGAATTCTTTCCAACCAACTTTTTGCCTGAAATGTAAATCCATGTGACAATATATCCGTAATACATTCTTTGAAAGCCCGTTATTCTTCATATCTTCATATTTCTGCATCATATGCCACTTTAAATCACAGTCCAGGGGTATGTGCTCGCATGGCAGTGACCACTTGCGCTAGCAGGACCAGGCACCAGGACCAGGCCTCGATAGGCAGAAACTTTGCTGTGCTCTCACTCCCGTGTCACTCTTCGGTCATGCCTCAAGTGCAACTTCAATCATTGAGCTGGCGTCTCTTTTATGGGCCCAACTTGTTGAATGTACGTCATACTCACTCGTCACTTCTACTCGGCCTTGAAGTGTATGTGGAAACGAGGCTCCAACTATAAATAGCACCTTCAATCCAATTCAAAGTAGTGCAGACAGACTGACAAAAGACGATGTCTATCCCATTTCAACTAAGCCTTAAGGAGGAGCAATTGCTGACAAAGTTTGCCCGATAGTTTCAAAGTCTTCAACGTTCAACTCTGCTTTCTCGCTTCGGGCAACCCACCAGTCCGCCAGCAACCTCACACTACTCGAACCACTGGTAGGATTCGAACTCAATTGCTGGGCGTACAGACGACCGATATGGTGCACATTGCTAGAGCCGACGAATTGCATTGCGTATGCAATTGTCAGAAGCGCATGTACTCGTCTGTCTTCTTGCATATTTTGCAGAAAAACTAAAGCATTGTACCTTTTTCTTTGCCTCGAAGGCAGTACCAAGTTGATTGGCTGAGTTTTTTTATTGAATCACGAATAAATTCGATGCACACTCTGGTTGATCTTCAATTTTACCAAATGTTTGATGAGTTTTTGCTAGAAAATCAAATAAAGGATCGATTTTACTCATCAATTTACGAGAAATTGAGACATTCCTGTAGGCCTGAACTAGGCCTTCAGCCTTATCGAGCTATGGTCGCTACGGCCTTGGGTAATAGTGTCCTTTTTTGCAAGGCAGAGGTACATTTTTGTCATCACAAAATTCGTTTTATAGAATACTTTTGAACGAACCTCTAATTACTCCGCCATCCCTTTGTGATGCAATAAGAGTGGAACTTTTCGCTCCGAAGTGAATGATGAAGACGTGATCTGAATTTGTCTTCCCATAATATGGAGCAAATCA